ACCTCAGCCATGAAGTCCATGTGGGGGCTACCTCAGCCTGATTCACTTGAATGGGCGCTCTGGGCGGGTAGACATCACTTGTTTGCGGTTTTTATTATATTATGCTTGTGTCAAATGGGCTCAGCGCTGTCACATCCTTGACTGCTGCCAGCTCAGCGTCCTGTCAACCAACTCTCAGGCTCAACTACGGCTTTAGCACCGCCCAGTTATTACGCATTGCCGGCTTCTTAATGTCGAGTGCTTTTGCCATGCTGCTGCTGCTGCGGCTGTGGCAAGCGAACGCTTGAAGAAGATGCGCTGGCTGCGGCCATTGCTGCCTAACCCAACTCTCGCCAACAGGTGGCGCCTCTTGAACCCCCTCCGACAGCTGAGCCCCGGCAAATTCCAAGACCCAAACGGCAACCACTTGGCCAACAACAAGTGCCACTGCCTGCTGCTGCTGCTGCTGCTGCTGCTGCCGCTGTTCTTCTCTTGTTTCTTAAGCTCAAGTTCTCATTACTATGTCATATGAATTGTAACGCAGCAACTGAGACTTGAAAATGGCTAAAGCAGTCCTGACAAGGCATTGGCAGCAATTAAGTTATATATAAATATTTATTTATCTAGGCATAAAATATATATGAATTTTTATATATTTATGAAATATTGGACTAAATAAAAAACTCTATTAAATATTTCAAGTATTCCTTTTCTTTTAGTTCTATTGATATAATTCAGATACTGAAGCAAATGCGAGAGATAAAAATGCTTGAAAAGAGTCTGTGACGGCGTGGGAACTAGACGCTATAACACGGAAGACAGGGCCAAGTTACATTACCATTAGTTTTAGAATTTATTTTAATATTGGTATAAGCATTAGCATTGGCATTTTATTTATAATTTTCATTTATCACTAATCAATTTCATTAGCATTGTTATTAGCTTTAGCATAGGCAATGGCATTCTCATTATCATGATCATTGCTCACTGATCACTGATCAATTTCATTAGCATAAGCATAAGCATTCTCATTATCACTAATCACTTTCATTAGCATTAGCATAAGCATTCTCATAATCGTGATCACTGATCACTGATCACTAATCAATTTCATAAGCATTAGCATAAGCATTAGTATTAGCATTAGCATAAGCATTCTCATTATCATAATCATTACTCATTGATCCATTTTATTAGCATTAGTATCAGGCTTAGCATTGGCATTTTCATTAGCTTTATCACTGATCACTGATCACTGATCACTGATCAATTATCATTACCTATAGTTTCCCTATGAATAATGCAATTCGATAAGAATTTATATGTATTCTCCACATTTTTTTAATATATATTTCTCATTTGTTTATAACAATTGTAGGCACACGACTGAAAAGCTGTAAGAGGTAGAGTATTTTGGCTTCAGCCTAGAGTCAAATTGTTACTATTGCGGTCCACTGCAATTGGCAGCTGGCACTTGCCATATTTTATAAGTTAAGGCACGTTTCAGTGGTCAGGCCGCTCGTCGGGCAAGTGGTAATCCTGCTCCACTCATCCAATGACTGGTCTTCAGTTATTCTGTTCTGCAGTCAACTGCTCGGCCGCAATGAAATCGCAAAATTTATTTGCTGAGTGTTGCCAAAAAAGAAGAAGGAAAAACAAAAACGGAACAAAATAACACAGAAAAAGCATAGGTATTAGCAGCGAGAAGTAAGTGACCGACTAGCCAATACCCTGTAAGCAGTTTGTGTGCTAGATAAATGACTTTAGCTGCTATAAATCTGATGTTAGCAGGGAGAACTCTCAAGTTGCAACTTCAAAAGTGTTCAATATTTGCCAATTTGATTGGCAGCCTAGCACAGCCGCACAGCCACACAGCCACACAGCCTACAGATGGAGAACATGGCCAGCAAATGAAGCGGCTGGCAAATTGGCAGCTTCGAACGTAAGCCCAAAGTCAAATTCAAAAGCCAAAAGCTGCCAAGCCCAATCCGCAAGCCAGTTGCAAAATGAAGACAGAATCCTTGGCCGTTGCACAGACGCTAAGAAGCCTTTGTGGCTGGCAACAATTTAATTATAAGCCGAGTGGCATCGACTTTGGCTCTGGCTCCCACTGGAGCTGCCAACTAGCCCCCAACTGGGCCCCAACTAAACCGCTTTTCGTCAACTAACTTGATTACAAGTTGCCAATGTTTATTCAATTTCCATTCTCAATTAAATGCGAACTCTGTTTTTGCTGTCATTTTGCGACTCATAATTGCATTTGCCTCACGCTCGTGCGTGTGTGCCACTTCCACAACTGTTTGCATGTGTGTGTGAGATCCTTTCATTTGCCCAACACTTGCCGCAACGCCCACTTTCTCGACTCGGCATAATTTGTAATTTTGTTTGAGATTTTGGCCCAAATGCCCGCAAATGCGAATTGGAACTGTCTTTGGTTTTTGTGGCTTTTGGCCATGGCTTGAGCTGATTGGCCGGCAAAAGTTTTCGGCGCCAAGGAGACGCCATCATACGTATATATATATATATATATATATATATATATATATATATATATATATATATATATATATATATATATATATATATATATATATATAACTGTGTGTGTGGTCCTCGCTGAAAGAACACGTCACATGCTTGGCTGATTACATTGGCTAACCACTGCCCGCCGCTCCTGGAGTCGCTCACAGAACTTTACGTATGATTTGCTTGGCAAAATTGCATTTTGCGGTTACCCAGCCTCAACTCCTAAGCCAAAGCAAAAAGAAACAGAGCCAAAAATTAAATTGAACCCAAGCACATATCGCAGACGGAAACGCCCAACCGCCCACAAGTGCAGGGCAAGTGCTCAGCTCCAAGCCGTTCACAGCTGAGCACTATTAGTACCAAAATCAACATCCGCTTCAATTCAAGCTCTGCTGGCATTGCTCTAACAATATTCCATTTCCATTTGCATTACAATATCAATTAAATGGACCACAAATAGCATTCAAAACAAAAAGTGTCCAAAAATTGAGTGAAATTGTCAATCATTTCATAATTTAATTGAGAAATACATACAGCATACAGCATACAGCATACAGCATACAGCATACAGCATACAGCATACAGCATACAGCATACAGCATACAGCATACAGCATACAGCATACAGCATACAGCATACAGCATACAGCATACAGCATACAGCATAGCATACAGCATACAGCATACAGCATACAGCATACAGCATACAGCATACAGCATACAGCATACAGCATACAGCATACAGCATACAGCATACAGCATACAGCATACAGCATACAGCATACAGCATACAGCATACAGCATACAGCATACAGCATACAGCATACAGCATACAGCATACAGCATACAGCATACAGCATACAGCATACAGCATACAGCATACAGCATACAGCATACAGCATACAGCATACAGCATACAGCATACAGCTACAGCATACAGCATACAGCATACAGCATACAGCATACAGCATACAGCATACAGCATACAGCATACAGCATACAGCATACAGCATACAGCATACAGCATACAGCATACAGCATACAGCATACAGCATACAGCATACAGCATACAGCATACAGCATACAGCATACAGCATACAGCATACAGCATACAGCATACCATACAGCATACAGCATACAGCATACAGCATACAGCATACAGCATACAGCATACAGCATACAGCATACAGCATACAGCATACAGCATACAGCATACAGCATACAGCATACAGCATACAGCATACAGCATACAGCATACAGCATACAGCATACAGCATACAGCATACAGCATACAGCAATACAGCATACAGCATACAGCATACAGCATACAGCATACAGCATACAGCATACAGCATACAGCATACAGCATACAGCATACAGCATACAGCATACAGCATACAGCATACAGCATACAGCATACAGCATACAGCATACAGCATACAGCATACAGCATACAGCATACAGCATACAGCATACAGCATACAGCATACAGCATACAGCATACAGCATACAGCATACAGCATACAGCATACAGCATACAGCATACAGCATACAGCATACAGCATACAGCATACAGCATACAGCATACAGCATACAGCATACAGCATACAGCATACAGCATACAGCATACAGCATACAGCATACAGCATACAGCATACAGCATACAGCATACAGCATACAGCATACAGCATACAGCATACAGCATACAGCATACAGCATACAGCATACAGCATACAGCATACAGCATACAGCATACAGCATACAGCATACAGCATACAGCATACAGCATACAGCATACAGCATACAGCATACAGCATACAGCATACAGCATACAGCATACAGCATACAGCATACAGCATACAGCATACAGCATACAGCATCATCGTCGTTGGCGGTTCACTCTCAGCTGTGGGGAAGTGTTTTGCTGTTCTGCTGCGCCTGCCGCTGCAGCGCCATCTGTTGTTGTGTCAGTGATCAGAGAGCAACGCATAGCAGCCTGCATCCATCCCTACATGCTGGCTTCCATTCTTACCAAGGCGTGGAGCCTGTAGTGTGCAACAACGGTTGCCCTACTGTCTGCAGCTTCGGTCCACACATGAGGTGGTTGTCTTTGCTAAATTCCCCCAACTCACCAGAGTATGGTGAACAGCTGTTTGATCGCTGCAGTTTCCAACACTACTAACAGATGGTAGAGTGAATGCACCTGCCGCTGTTTATTGTTTTATCGTGTTGAAATGACAATGAAGAAATGACACTACTGCACCCCTCCCTCTTCATTTTGTTTATTTTTGAAATACTTTTCAGATTTATTAAGATATCAAACAAATGAAACATTCTGACCATTCACAATGCTTACTGTTATTTGAAGTATAAGTATATATAGATATATCTCAATCTTATATCATATATCAGAGACAAATCTAACTCATTCGCAGGCTCAAAAAAAAAAAAAAAAAAACACGACATTTATGATACAGATTTGGATATATCGCTAATGAACATTATGCATAGATAATGCCTAGAGTATGCTGCTTACGATTTGGTCACATTCACAAAACCAAATTTATTAATCATATTTTATAAAAAAAAAATATATAGAAGCTTTAACACATATACATATATATATCTATATGTGTGTGTGTGTGAGTTCTTGTTATATAATTAGCCATAGTTAGCGTTCACTGTACTACTAGTTTAGCTTAGTCTACTGTCTTTTTGGTAAGTATTTTGCGTGTGTTTGCTCAATTCGACTACATGAAATGTTTGCACTCAAACACTTTGTTTAACAATAAATAAACATTAAAAAAAAAATAAGCACAAAATGGGATTCGACTCAATCCGACACTTGCAAGCAAACATGGAAAACCAGACAAAAGTAAAAATAATAATATTATTAATAATTATTACAATAAATGATGGAAAATTGTGATCAATTGTTGTTCCTCTAGTATTAATTAAAGGCGCGCACAGCTACTGTGATGTTTTCCCTCGTTGTTCTCTGCAGCTCCTTTATGTGTGGGTGTCTGTGTGTATGTGTGTGTGAACGAATACTTATGTGCAGAATTAGCAGACAAGTCGCTCGTTCGCAGGACGAAAAATGCGCTCGTAGTTCTCGATCAGCACCTTGGCCAACATATTCATGCGGCCTATGTTGAAATTGATATTGTTGGCAGCCAGCAAGCAGGGGCCCCAGACAATGGCCAGATTGGAGGCAGGCATGCGGTTCTCGCTGCTAAATGCCGCAACGCTGCAATGGAAAGCAAAGATTTGTACAACATAAGTTAATAATTTCCAAAATTAATTCAAGAGTTTGTTCAACAGCCCAACAAACAAAATAGCTGCCTTTGGCACTTGTTAGCTTAACACAGTTTGTATGGCAAAATGTTCGACAAGTTCATGCACCTCAAGCCAAAAATAAATATATTTATTGCAAAACTACGAGTCATGACAAAATGATTTCCAATGCTCGAATTTCTACTTAACATAAGCTTTAATCTTAGCTTTAACTATAGACTTTATGACTTTAAGCGCAAGGCTAGCACCGACTTTTGCTTGTCTTCACAGCATAGAAACTTGTCTTATGTTATTAAGTGTCTATTAAACACTTTGACAGCTTCAATGCCAGCTTAAACTTAAAGTTGACACAGCTCTACAGATAGACCCATTAATTATATAATAATATTTATAAGACTTATGCTTATCGGCTACATCTGACATGCTCTGGCAACTAACAAATAACTAAACTATTTCAAATGGTCAAGCAACTAAGGTTATGATGTTACCATTATAGATTCGTATAACTAACATTTCTGCCTATAATATCTGGGCTTTGAACAACATTTAGCGTCACTCACTTGGTCAAATGTTTGATTAGAAAACGCAGCGTGGAGCGATTCGGTTCGGGCATCTCATCGAACGCCAAATGCATTAGCTCGATCGCCGCATCGTCGGTGAGGCAGCGTCCCAGACGATCGTACGCCTCTTGGGTGATCAACGGAGCTGGCAGCTCGCGAAAGAATTGCTTATGGAGGCTGGTTAGCGTGTGTATGTCGTCCGTCTGCAGCAGGCGGGGATCGTACAAGTGGGTCAGCTTGCGTTTCAGCTCGTCGACGAGCAGCTTGTTGCCGCTGGCCCGATACAGGCCGTCCTGTTTGATGCAGTCGTCCTGCTCGATGTGAGCGCAAACGTCGACGACAAAGCGCGGCACATACGGATGATCCGACATGTTCAGCTCCAGCACATTCAGCCGTGCCGCGAACAGCGGATACTTGGACTGCTCATCTAGACAGAGGCTGTTCACCTGGCTGCGACGCGAGCGCGATTTCTTTTCACTCTTCGGCGATCGATTGCTGCAATTACCAAGAGCTCAGTCAGTCAACTGGATAAATAGCTACGCATATCTGATACTTACATGTGAACTGTCGTGCAATGCGGCGCGAGACATCAGCGATACATGAAAGCAAGGCAAAGAATGTCATTTGAATTAGTGCTAAACTCATAAGGAACTCGTTTACGATTGGCCTACTTTCCGCTAAGAGTCTGTCCATGGAATTGGCTCGGCATTTAGATTTGCTATCCCACACCCAATCAATCATCTGGCTGGCCACCCACAGCGCTTATTATAACAACAACTCAGCTAGCTACCTGAACCTCAACTGGCCTGCGATGCGACTGCGTTTGAAGTCTCATATTATTTAGCGCTTGCATTCGATGTGCTTTGTTTGGGCATGCGGGCGTTTTGCATGCGGAATCTCAGCGCAAAGCCGCTGACTGGAATAGCAAAGCTTACGCCATGCAATAACAATAAAACAACAACAACAACAACAGCAACAGCAGCAACAACGGCGACACTAACGTATGCTAAATCAATGCCCACCTTCCAAGATTCCCCGCAGTGAATCATTTGTGACGCTCGCGCGCAGTCAGACAAAAAGTGAAATCCCCGAGACTTTTATTAACTAAAAATGAAAGAGAGAGAGAGAGAGAGAGAGAGCGCGCGCTGGCAAGAGAGCAATTGAGAGCGAGAGAAACCTGTCCACTCTCTTTACAATTGAAACCGCATTCCACGATTCGAATTCGCATTTCCAAATTCCAAATCCATTCATAGCTCTCTGCCTCTATCATATATCTGTGCATGTGGGCGTGTGTCTGTGCGTCTCTGTGTGGGCGCGTGTGCCACCTTTTAAGGCCAAGCTGCGAGGCTGGTCTCCACCAGTTTGGTCAAGACACACAAGCTCGACTCTGTGTAGACATCGGGGCGCCCAGCCACATAGCGTACCACAGGCCACTGGGGCAGAGCTTAGGCTGAGACTAATTTAATTAGAAACGAATTTCTCACTCGGTTTTCAAATTTATCACAAGCTTGGCCCACTTTAGTAAACAGCTCAGTTGCACTCATTCTTGGATCGGACTTGCGCGAGGCACGCAGTTGCCATTCCCTGCCTCAAGCGATTCCCAGCCCATGCACTGATATCTTATCAAACCGGATCTTAGAGCAGGAATTCCAGTTGAGTCGATGCGTATTCAGAAAATCGCATCATGAATTCTGTTGCGCCATCCAACTGTCTCTAGCTACTCTCTTCAGCTCTCTCTCTAGCTACTCTCTTCAGCTCTCTCTCCGGCTCTCTCTCCAGATCTCTCTCCAGCTCTCTCTCCAGACCTCTCTCCAACACTCCCCAACTCTCTCCAACTCTCCCCAACTCTCTCCAACTCTCTCTCTCTCTCTCTCTCTCTCTCTCTCTCTCTCCAGTTCTCTCTCTCTCTCTGTCTCTCTCTAGCTCTCTCCCTCTCTTTCTAGCTCTCTCTAGCTCTCTCTCTCTCACTCTCTCTAACTCACCCTATGATCTTTCCTCGCTTTCTTTATCTTTATATAAGGGTAAAGAAGAGATATTAATCTTTGACTCTCTATCTCTCTGTTCCTCTCGCTCTCTTTTTCCTTTTCTCTATATTTTTCTTTACTTTTTATTCTATCTATTTGTGTCATTCATCATTTTACTAGATCTCTCCCACCATCTCTCATTACATCACTCTTTATTTAATTCTCTTTCATTCTCTATTTTTATTGCTTATTCTCTCTCATTCTCCCTATTACACTCGCTCAGTCTCTCTCATCCCGTCTCTAAAGTATTCTCTCTTCATCTCTTTCCCCTTCTCCTATTCGCGCACTTCCTCTCTCTCTTCAATAACTCGCTCTCTCATATTATCTCCATCTCCATCTCTCTTTATCTATCTCTCACTATCCCACATTCTCCCTCCCTCTTTCTCGCTTTCACACTGTCTCTAATCATTTCAAATTCTCAATCAATACCCCTGAGTCGCACTCTCTCTCTCCCACCTGTCCCTATCCTTCTTCCCTTACCTCATAACTAGGCAACATAGATTTGTGAGTAGTCCCCCCGGGGACTCACCAGGGCGTATACTTAATCGAATTCGAATTTGAACACTTACATTTCATACGCATGCGATTCCGAATCGACTTCTTGTCTTCCTCGCCGGGCAGGTCATCGAGGTTGGCAATGGAGGCGCTCTTGAAGCGCTGCAAGATGGTCGACTGCTGCGTCTGCTGCACCTCGTTATCCTCTTGGATTTGCTGGGCGCGCAGAATATCACTCACTGGCACAATCTGTGGAGCAAGCAGACAAGACACGCAGCACGCGCATAAATATCGAGCTGATGAGCGAACGCAAGAGCTGCAATAACTCTGAGATTACGGCTATGGGGTAAGCGGGCTGCATGCAGGGGTCAGATTCAGATTCAGAATCAGATTCAGATTGAGATACAATTTTGAAGCAACGGCTGCAAATTAATTGCAGCTTTTCGTGCTGATGTCGATGCGGCGATTTCCCTGATTTTGTTTTTCTAGTTTTACTGTTTTCGCACTTTTGTCTTTCGCACTTGGCTTCGCCTCACCGTTGTAAGTCTACGTTTGGCTTTGCCCTTCCCCGACATCTGTTATCTGCTGCTGCTGCTGCTGCACTCACCCGCCCCGGAGCACGAAAACGAAAAACGAAAAACGAAAAAACAAAGAGCAACCAGAACAAGAAATGAGTTAAAAATGAACAAAAAAAAATATACAAACAACAACAAAGTGAAACACAAAATTGATAAGAAATTGAATTCGATTTGCTGGAAAAGCAAGCAAAGCAAAGCACAGCGACGCGTGCAATGCCAAATGCGAACGGTTAATGCGCCCCAAGATAACGAAATGTTCAAGTGGAAAGAAGTATTGCTCGATTCTTGTTTGTATTTATCGTCGTATCGTATCTATCGCCGCGCTGTTCCGTTACTGTCGTTCCATCGCCGTCCATCTGACGTACTATCGGCTGTGCCTGGCCTAGAGTATTATGTGCGCTTTCCTGCCACACACACACACCTATGTGCGTGTGCCACAATTCAGATATTTTCTTTCAGCTCGGCCACACATAAACAGAAAAGCGAGCGAGCAGCCAACACAGTCCGGGCCAGTTGTCTAGAAACTCAACCTATAGGATAGCAGCTGTAAACACGCGCTGCCAGCTTAAGTTACACGTCCCAGGCGCTATGGCGTCTGTGCCAGCCATGCAACATATATAGATCTCTATGTGTGTGTGTGTGTGTGGCATATATACAGCCTGGTCTAGCTAGGCGAGCCATAAATTTCGCATTCCAGGAACTCGGCCAAACAGCTGCTGTTCCGCAAGCAAATGTAAATAATTTTCATGCCGCAACTGTCACGAATCAGTCGAAAACATAAAAGAAACAAAAAATACCGAGCAATACCCTGGAAAGTGCGCTTGCTGCCTGCACCTGAAGCAGTACCAAAACTACAGCGCCTGATAAGAGCCTAAAGGCAAGCAGCACACCAACTCCCAAACCAGATATCAATAACAATAAACATGACGGAGGGCGTGTCACAGTTTAAATACCCATTAAGACATTTTATTATCTCTGTGCGTGTGACTCAGCTCTGTGAAGTATCAAAATTGTGGATGTGTTTAAAGTAGAGCATTCGATATACCATACTTCAGATACTAGAGCTCCAAGTGTAAAAAGCATACAGCTAGATATGGACTTTTATCATTATAAATATAACCCAACTTTTATGATTTCCACAGCTGTTGTGGGTCGCTGAGTCCAATTGGAAAAGCTGCAAGATTGAGTAACTGAGAGACGACGCCACTTAATGTTAAGGAATATATATATATTTATATATAGAAGGGTTTATGTTTAAAGTAGAGCATTCGATATACCATACTGCAGATACCAGAACTTCAAGTATAAAGAGTATAGCTAAATATATAGAAATATCTACTTATATCATTATACAATCTACCTGATAATATGACTTGCGAGTAGCTGAATCTAATTGAAACAGCTTCCAGAATGATTCACTGAGAGAAGACTCCAAGTATATGCTTATAGAGGCGTTTACAGTTCTATAAAGCTCAATATTCAAAGCCCTTCCTTAACCATAATTCACATACAAGAACAGCTTCAACTATACTTCAGGTATAGAGTTATATATATAAACCGTTATCATTATAAATATAATCCAAATTTTAATATGAATATCACAAATCTGAGTTCCATATCATAAGCCAAATATAATGTTTGAGTTAAGGATATCTCATACAAGCTTTGCTATTTACCTTTGCAAATTCGAAGACAACAGAGAAAAGAGCACGAGTCGGGCATGATCAACTCAGAGTTACCCAGCAGCCAAACACAATATGAGCATATAGAAAACATTGCGAGTTCCCAAATCTTAAAATCAATGCAGAAGCGCTACAAGCCCAACCCAAAATTAAAAGGTCTCTTGGCCTAGTCTTCATTTAGGCCAGCTGCTAAATTCAGAGCGCCGATAAAGTCTCATGTATTCGCTATATAACGATATATGATATATGGAGATACCCCAACTCACATATTTCCAGCGTACAGGGTATAAAGAGCGCTAGATTAAACTCTAATTTTATTTAGCTTAATTTGTTATTGTTGCTTTTGTTTGTTTGGGCATAAACAAAAAGGCAAATATTGCGTAGTTGTTGCTGCTGCTGCTGCTGTTGTTGTTATTTAATTTGTTGTTAGACATTTTGTTGTTGCTGCTGTTGGCGTTGTTGTTGCAATTAGCGTGGCAGCAGTCGCTGAGCACGGTTTTGGGCATGTTTAGAATATGCGTCGCATTAGTTGTTGCCATTGCTGGCCATCAGTTGGCCAATTTGCATACTCTCACAAATGTGTATGTAGCTGCACTTGTATCTGTATCTGTATCTGTATCTGAATTCGTATCTGTATCTGTAGCTGTTGCTGTTACTGTTGCTGTGCCGAAACTAAAATAGATTTTTTATATGCGCTACACGAGCGACTTTGCACCGAGCCTCCGTCTGCCTTTGTTGTTTAATATGTTTTTATTTTATTTATTTATTTTGCTTTTCCTTTGTTGATTTTATTCATTCCACTTTTATTTGTTCATATAATTTTTTAAAATTTTAATTGATACTACCTCGACATGCGGCAGCACTTGTTTACCTGTATCTCTAAGTAGCACAGCATGAATCTGTATTTGTATCTGTAAATGTATCTGTATCTGTATCTGTATCTGTATCTGTATCTGTATCTGTATCTATATCTATATCTGTATCTGTATCTGTATCTGTATCTGTATCTGTATCCCTATAAATGTATCTATGTATCTATGTATCTATGAATCTATGTATCTATGTATCTATGTATCTATGTATCTATGTATCTATGTATCTATGTATCTATGTATCTATGTATCTATGTATCTATGTATCTATGTATCTATGTATCTATGTATCTATGTATCTATGTATCTATGTATCTATGTATCTATGTATCTATGTATCTATGTATCTATGTATCTATGTATCTATGTATCTATGTATCTATGTATCTATGTATCTATGTATCTATGTATCTATGTATCTATGTATCTATGTATCTATGTATCTATGTATCTATGTATCTATGTATCTATGTATCTATGTATCTATGTATCTATGTATCTATGTATCTATGTATCTATGTATCTATGTATCTATGTATCTATGTATCTATGTATCTATGTATCTATGTATCTATGTATCTATGTATTATCTATGTATCTATGTATCTATGTATCTAGTATCTATGTATCTATGTATCTATGTATCTATGTATCTATGTATCTATGTATCTATGTATCTATGTATCTATGTATCTATGTATCTATGTATCTATGTATCTATGTATCTATGTATCTATGTATCTATGTATCTATGTATCTATGTATCTATGTATCTATGTATCTATGTATCTTTTTCGTATCTGTATCTGCCAATGTTACCGCATTCAGATATCTCTCTTTCAATGCTTCACAAGCAAAAACAAAACCGAAATAAACCAAACAAAGGCGGCGTATTTGACCCATTCGAATTGTGTTTTGACTGCTCACAGATTGTTGAAGAGTTGTTTGCACTATGTCGATGGCTACACAGGTAATGCTGGTGGTGCCCCGCCGGACCCCTATGCGCTGTCTCACGGACGCTCTGTCCATGGAGCGCGCCAGCAGTCAATTCGAAACAAGCCCAGAGACTGTCTATAAGACACAAATTCACACTTGTGTTGCCAAGTGTCGAGCACGCTGTTGACTTAACATTGCGTAGGCAAAGTCAATGCTACAATAGCCAAACATCCGTTCGGCTCAATGATATTCTGCACTAACCTCAGCTATATCCCATATGAATGTTTGCATACAACAAGATGCCCTCAAAACACATTCCAACATTCAAAGCGAGCATTCGCAGCTAACGTTGTCATGGTCAACACTATCAGCAGCAGCAGCAGCAGCAGCAGCACTGCCTGTGACTTAGTCTATAAATTGGGCTTATGGACTTGAAATGCTATAAATACATTTGTAATACATCGCATGCTCGCGACAATAGACTCCAGTTCCCTTGTCAACCTAGTTTCGATCATCACATTGCCAAAGCATTTCCTGGCAGCTTTAGAGATTTTTTCTTTGCTTTAAATTAAATCATTAGCAATTTGCATAGGCATTATAATTTGTATAATATATGTTATATACATAGCAAAAGCAAATTATATATTTATATATATATATCTTCCTGTAGCGTGACCAAATTCTAGATAACTCTCCTAATCTATATATATATATATATATATATAATTCAGAAAGATATTTTTAGCTACATTTGAGACATGAGCAGAAATCATTTGCCATAAAGAGCTGTCCCAAGTTTGGCTACGTGACATTTGCTTTGCCATAAAAAAAGGCGAACTTTCATGCAACAATATGCGATAAGTAATTTTTAAATTTTTTTTTTATTTTTTTTTCGTAACAATTCTCCAAATGCTGCTCGTAATATCCGGCCCTTTATTTGTGTATGAAGCCCAAGCCCCGTTTATTTTTTTTTTTTACACAACTGCGCGATAAAAACAAATTTAGAAAATGAGGGAAAAAGAAGGCGCTCAGCCGTTGACTTGGCCCACCTATAATTATGTAAAAAGGTGAGCAGAACTCAGATAGCTCCACTCGAGCTCGAACTCGAAACGCGAACCCGGGCGAGCTTACAAAAATATTTGACTAATGATTAACCAATTAAATGCTGATAAATGCTGCGCGACGATGATGACGAGGCCCCCTGCCAGCAAGGGGCGGTAGGGTGCCAGAGGAGGGGCAGAGCGGGGGCTCAGGAAATTAACGACAGCATTAAAATCAGAAACCGGTTCCCCAAAAAGCTGATGGCAAACAGAAAAAAAATCTGACTTTGCCGACTTGTTTGCATGCAAAAATAATTGTCTCTCTGTGGGCATACAGAATGGGGCGGGGCGGTGAGGAGCATGGGGTTTTTGGGCGAACTGCGGGGCCGTAACAATAAGTGAATCAACTTTTTGGGAGGGGGTTCCCTACCGAGGCAAGCTGCCCAAAAAGCAAATTCCATAGAATTTCTCATGCAGCGGCAAATGCAACAAATGCAAAAAGGGAAATAATCAAAGCAACAACAACAACAACAAGTATTTACAACAAAAACAACATCAAAACGTGAGAGGCAAATAAATAATAAAAATACATTATGCAAAAGAGAATAAAATGAAAAACAACAGCAGCAACAGCAACAACAACAACATGTGTTATAAACAAAGCGCAATAAAAATTACGACTATACGAAGCACGTCCAGAACATTTGAAGTCGACGCACAGAATACACTAACTAGAGAAATATCGAAACTTAATTCTTACCAATAATATTTTATTTATATATTAACTAATAAAATATTGTTTTATTTATATTTTAATTAATAAATATTTTACTAATATATATTCAGCTAAATTTATGAAACACTTATATTAGAAGAGATTTCCATCCATTTCTAATTGTTTCAAGTGCAACTTTTGCTCAAATTCCAATTAGAGTTCTAATAGGATTTAATTAAGCTTGAGTATTTTTTATATGAAAAACAAACTGGTCTGAAACATTTCACTGAATGTCAAATAAATTAGAGTAATTAGAATAATTATCAAGTTTTCTCTGCTCGAGCGTGCTCATATATATATATATATATATATACGCTCGGCTATATTATATTTATATATGGTATAATGCATAGATGCAGATATAGATAATACAAAAATTGATATTTTATTGTGCGCACCAGACAATTTAATCATTTAAGTAGTTAATCTAATAGTCGATTATAGATGCAAAAAAAAGTACATAAAAAAACATGGAGAGTATTTGAAATGCATTTGCACCCCTTTTGGCATTCGCCGCTGTTTGCAAAGTTTTATGCAAACGCCAAAACTGTAAAGTACCCGAGGCCTGCGGCAGAGACGTGCCATAGCAAACGGCGCAAACTCAAAGCAAACAAACAATCGAAACAACCGTTACATATACACACACATATACGCACGCACGCTATCTCTCTCTCCCGCTCTCTCGTTGTCTCTGTCCCGCTAGTTGTGTCATTCTCTCACATGAACAACGCTGGCAATTTGCAGGGCTTAATTGATGAGGCCACAGCGAAAAACAATGCAATTGCAGTTCCCATTGAAAAGCGGCCACTGGAATGGGCGGCTACGGGAAGGGGCGGGGCAGCTGTCTCTTTACACTTACCATATCCTCCTCATCCTCACAGTAGTTGACATCTTGTAGCTGCTCGCGCCATGCCAGCACTGAGGTGGGTATGAGCAGACGACCGCTGGAACGTACGCGCAGTTTGCGGCCGGCGCGAGCAGCGACGCCGCGCTTGCTGCTCGCTGCCGCCGCGAGCACGGCCAGAGCCCAATCCTCTTTCAGTGGATGCGGTATATGTTCTTGCAGTTCGTCCGTGTCCGCTTCGCAGCTGCAGCCGCTGTCATCGTTGCTGGTTAAATTCGCAATTGACTGCGACGTCGTCGCTGTCAACTGCGGCGCTGGCGCTGGCGCTGGCGCAGGCGGCGGCGGCGGGCATCGCTGGCGTGTCATGAATCGCCGATGGATTTGAGCCCGTTCGTAGTCGTAGAAGATAACGCTATATTTCTGCGGCTCCTTGAGGCTGTAGCAAATACATATGTTGCGTAGCAGCGGATGCGTCAGTGTCTGCGGCGCAGTCGCAGCGCTGTCAACGCTGCTGCTGCCCGCGCTGCTGATAGAGCCGAGCGTCGCTGTGCTGTTGGTCACCGTGCTGCCCACGCTAAGCGTCTCAGCGCTTTGCTGCTGCTGCTGCTGGTGCTGCTGTTGATCCGCCTTGGCGAACATAAACTCGTCATCCGTCTCCCAGGCGCCTTGATCCATAGACGCCGTTGGCGATGGCAGCGGCGACAGCGGCGCCGGCGTCGTTTGCTTAGTCAGCCTGTGACGTGCGCCGGCGGCAAAAGCTGCCGCTGCTTGCAGCGCCAATTCCTCAGCCTGAACATCGTCGGCGTCGACGTAGACGTCAGCATCGGTTTCGGCATCAGCGTAAAAGTCAGCGTCTGCATCGTCATCGCTGGCCGTCGCATCGCTCGCTGCGATGATCTCAAAGTCTTCTTCATTGTCGTCTGGCACTGGCTCCAAGGTTTTAAACTGCCATATGGTCTGATAAATGGATTCCTCCTCCTCTTCCAGCTCCTCCTGCTCTACAGATGCCACCACCTTCACCTCCACCTCTGCCTCCGCTGTTGCCTCTGCTTTTGACTCTACCTTTGCCTGTGCCTCTGCTCCTTCCTTTTTCACTTGATCAATCGCAGTGTCTGCTTCGCTGCTACTGCTGCTGCTGTTGTTGTTGTTATTGTTGTTGTTGTTATTGCTTTTCTCATTTTGGGTCTTAGTAAGCGCCGTCGTGGGATTACGCACAGGCACCTGAGGCGCCGGTCGACGCACTTTTATCACACAATTCTACAATTAGTAAGAAAAAAAAAACAAAAAAACACACATTTTGTTGTCACAATCGCATTCCAAAGACAACGATTTATGGAACAGCAACAACTCGAACTCACGCGTGCAACTGTTTCAAATTGGCTTTTGCTTAGCATCCAATTGGAATTCTAATAAGAGCTCCTTCAATAGCAAAATATAAATAAATATTCGACTATTCCAATTCGGTTTAAGTTCAAACTTTGCACTCCAATTAGATCTTATGCAGTTCTACAATTTCAATTCCTGTCGAATTTCCCACTAACTTCCCACTCCAACTCCAAGGAGAATATATTCATAAATAGACATATTAATTGAATTTCAGGTCTGCAGGTAACTTCGCCTCTAATAATTATTACATTAAACCCTTTTTGTATATATTTTAAAATTAATTCAAATGCAATCATAAATTATTTTGTATTAAATTCGTTACTTCCACTCGTTACTCGTTAACTGCAATTTGTCACACGTAAGCTCTCTCTCTCTCTTTCTATCTCTCCTCCCTCTTTCTTTCTATATTCATACAAAAGACGATCGTAAAAAGTAATTTGCATATTTTGCATATGGAAAACGAATTGGTTATCGCTAATTGACTCGTAATCTTTAAGAGTGAATCGCGATCAGTCGTTCGACCTGTAAAGACGTGAATTCGAACAGCCTTCGCTTAAGCTCTACTGCTGCAGAGTTCTAAAAATAGAACTTTGCGGTGCATTCTTCAACGCAACAGCAACAAAAACCGCACACGCAGCGTTTTCTTATCGCTTGCTTCCGCGTAACTCAATTGCTTTAATTGTAATTTACGAAATTTCGTCGCTTGGCGCGAGTGCGCCTGCACTCAAAAGCACAATCCGCGATGACATCTAATGTCAATGACCGCGCTACAGCTGTAAAGGTAAATGCAGAAATGCAAGCCCAGCTTAACGTTGTGATGGCAAATAGGCAAGCCTCCATCATGCCAATAAACTCAAAAATAGATATCGCCTCCGTGCAAGGCATCACTAACAACAAAAACACGAAACGTAAACAGCCAAATTCACCAAAAACCATCAAGAAAAGGCTCATCTTCGACGAACCAAGCACCAGCAATGCAGCATTAATATCAGAAAATCGATTTTCACTGCTCGTAGAAGAAGATGAAGACTACAGCGAATCACCTGTAGCTCCAGAAGCCCCAGTATTGACCGACCAGCAAACTACACCGAAACCTCGTCCGCCCCCCATATGGTGTCCAAACATCAAGTCTGTGGCCCTACTTCAACAGATAATAGATAAAGTAATTGATGCTAAATCATACGTAATTAAGCCAAAGAAGAATAACATAGGTGTATTAACCCAATGCAGTGAGGACTATCGCAGAGTTATAGACCACTTTACTAAGCTGGAATTGGAGTTCCACTGCTACCAGCTTAAGGAGGACAAACCATATAGAGTCGTGTTCAAAGGGCTTCACTCCAGCACTGATACAACACTAATTAAAAAGGAATTGGAAACCAAAGGCCACACAATTACAAATGTGCACAACCCACTGAGCCGTATGGACAAAACACCGCTAAATATATTTTTTGTTGACGTGGCTCAGGCCCCCAACAACAAAGAAATTTTGGACATTCGAGTTGTCTGCAGGCAACGCTGCACAGTGGAACTGCCAAGAAGATACAACGACCTGACACAATGCCATCGCTGTCAAGAATTTGGACACACACAACGCTACTGCCACAAAGCTCCCAGGTGTGTGCGTTGCGCCGGGAAACACGCATCCAAAGACTGCACCCGCGAAAAGGACCAGGCACCAACTTGTGTGCACTGTGAGTTACAGCACCCAGCCAACTATAAGGGCTGCCAAGTATACAAGCGGTTGCGCAAATTGCAATCCCCAGCACAAAAAAGGAGTCCCACACAAACACCGTCTACGGGTCCGAGTACTGCTTCCGAAATTACAAGGCCCCGGAGCATTACCCAAGCCACGAGCTTTGCAACGCCTATTAGTGGTGTTTCTTACGCACAGGCCGCTAGAGGTGGACCGTCAAATAAGAATACCACAAGTGACACTTTGTTCACTGAAATGCTTCAGCAACAACAACGTCAGTTTGACGCAATTAATGCCGAGCTCAAAGCGATGCGAGAAGTACAATCCCAACAAGCAACCATGCTAAACAGTTTAATGGCCATCATAACCAAGCTTGCCTACAAATAATGGCTTTACGTGTGGGTATCTGGAACGCCAATGGCCTGAGAAACAAGACTCAGGAACTGGCTGCGTTTCTCTCACAAGAAAACATAGATATAATGTTAATAACAGAAACTCATGAGTGCCCCACTACACAAATTTTCGGATACGAACACTATCAGGCTCATGGTGAAGGAGCAAACTGCTTTGGTGGATCCTCAATCCTCATACGAGCAACAATACCGCATACACCTTTACTGTCAATTTGCAACGCAACAATGCAGGTCTCAGCCATCACCCTGCCTACGTCTATTGGAGCGATCGAAGTTGCGTCAATTTATCTTCCGCCAAACACTGGTCTGTGTGATCATCACATGGAACAGGTTCTAGGCCAAAGGTTGAATAAGACCCTCATCGGCGGCGACTGGAATGGATGGCACCCATTTTGGGGAAGCAATAGTGCGAATCGTCGCGGAGAAGTCATATTTGAGGCGATTCAAAACTTACAATTCAGCATATTGGCGACTGGAGCCCCCACCCGTTACCCAATTAATGGACACAGGCCCTCGGCAATCGACTTCGCTGTCTACAAAGGCATCTGTGACCGGCAATTGACCATTGAAGAATCCTTGGACCTATCCTCTGACCACCTGCCACTAATAGTCACAATCCACGCGCAGCCACAGCCCTTGCCCATTAGGAAACAACTACTGCCAGCAGGATCAGATTTAGGAGTCTTTAGGCGCGAGCTCCATTACTCTTTGCACATAGAAATGGAACTTAACACTCCTGAAGACGTGGACTACGCAGCAAACAAACTGCAGGAAGAAATAGTCAAAGCTGCGCACCAAGCCGCCCCACCATCTTGCCAAACAAGACAACAGTCTCCGTACAACATCCCCCTCACCTTGGAGGCCCAACACCTACTAATACACAAAAGATGGGCCAGGAGACGCTGGTTAAGATTACGCACGCCTGATGCCAAATCCACGTACAACGAAGCCACGAGGCATCTTAAAGCTGCTCTCGCCCTGCTTCAAAAGAGGTGTATCAGCGATGCGCTGGTACGAGCTGAATCGCCCACTGACGCAGAGTTTCAATTATGGAAATTTACAAGAAAGCTCAAACGGCAGCCAATACGTCGACATCCCATTCGGAGCATTTCTGGTTCCTGGCACATTGGTGACGAAGCTCAAGCTGAGGCTTTTGCAAACCACCTTCAAGACCAATTCACGCCGGTGATTACCGCAGAGGCCTCAGAAATCGAAGCAACAGAAGACATCGTTCTCTCGCCCCTCCCAGCTGAAGACCAGATAACTGGATGTACAAAAGAAGAGGTTCTTGAACACATCAGAAGAGTGAAGGCAAAAAAATCCCCTGGATATGATCTAATAAACGGCAGAGTCCTTAGAGCACTGCCTGACTCCACCATAGACTACATAACTATGGTGTACAACGCCATGCTCCGCATCCGGCACTTTCCAGCCTGCTGGAAGCGCGCCGTGATTGTGATGATTCCTAAGCCTGGCAAACCCGTGGGAGAAATTGAGTCGTACAGACCAATTAGCCTGTTGCCAGTACTCTCCAAAATATTCGAAAGAATATTTCTGGAACGAGTACTGACACATCTGGGACGCCAGGAGGCCATTCCAAACCATCAGTTTGGCTTCAGGAGACAGCATGGAACACCGGAACAGGTTCACAGAGTTGTGCACCATATCCTTGGAGCCTTTGAAGAAAAGATGTACTGCTCTGCCGTCTTTTTAGACATCAAACAGGCGTTTGATCGAGTTTGGCACCTGGGACTGCTGCAGAAAGTGAGGACCACCCTTCCAGCCCCATTTTTCGCGTTGCTATCCTCATACCTTATTGGAAGAACCTTCCAAGTGTCAAGGGGGCAAGCAGTATCCTTGACTAGACCAATTATGGCTGGAGTACCACAGGGTAGTGTTCTAGGCCCAACACTTTATACTTTATTCACAGGAGATATGCCAACTCCCGAGCCAAATATAGGAAGTACAGATGCAGTACTCATAGCGACCTATGCAGATGACACCGCCATCTTATCACGTCACGTATCTGCGCAAGAAGCTTCAGACTCACTACAAAAATATCTGGACTCTTTCGGACGCTGGGCAAAACGGTGGTGTATCACCATTAATGCACAAAAGTCTGTACATACTACCTTCGCCACTAGAAGAGGAGATTGCCCAAGCGTTGCATTGGGGCCCACTATTCCCAAAGCCTCAAAAGTAAAGTACCTTGGTATCACTCTTGACAGAAGGCTGACTTTTAAAGCGCACATAAGTCAAGTAACCTCAAAATGCAAAAGCAAGCTAAAAACCCTCGACTGGATGCTGAGAGCTTCAAGCAAGTTGTCTTACAGCAGCAAGGCCGCCATCTACAAGGCAATAGTTGTCCCAACCTTCGTATATGGTATCTCTCTATGGGGCTCCTCGGCGAAGACTACAAGGAACAAAATTCAGACCCTGCAGAATAAAGCACTACGCAGATGGACTGGAGCCAGCTGGTTTGTAAGAAACTCAGTCTTACATAGGGATTTAGCAATTCCCACAGTTGCTGAACTCATTGGGCGACACAGTTCAAGATACGCGGACAGACTTGCAGCGCATCCTAACCATCTCGCAAGCAACCTGGCTATAAACAACAATAGGCGAAGACTGAAGAGATTGCATCCTCTAGACAATATAAGAACTAATTAAGATAGTAGCTACAAGTGCAGAATAATTGGCATATCTGCCCTCCCATTAGTTAAGGTTTAGAGCTAAATGCGCTATAGAGTCTAAGACAATAAGCTGCAACAAAATAAAGAAAAAAAAAAAAAAAAAAAAAAAAAAAAAAAAAAAAAAAAAAATCTTTAAGAGTATTATTAAGCTCGATCACTACCTACATATGTTATACATATTTCCATACTTCATTTATATATGGTATATAAGTATTTTCTATAATTAGCGAGCTTTGAGTTTTGCTTAATCTGATTAATACATATTACATAAATATATATATATATATAATATATTGCCCTATTTATTATTAACCTTCCAATTCAAATTGCAGCTTATTTCAGAACAATTATAAATACCCTTTGAAATGCTAAAATAAAAAAAAAAAAAAAAATAAAATTTTTGTTGTTTTTTTCTGTTTTTCTCTTTTGTTGTTCCTTTTTGCTACACATTTTGCAGCTCCGCTGCCGCTACTCGCTCACTTTGCGCTCTCACATTGTTCACTCTGCTCACTCTCTGTGCTCTGTGCCCTCTAGCTATCTAGCTGTCTCTGTCTCGCTCACTTAGCGCAACTACCGTTGTATTTCTTTATTAATTTACGCCTCAATTGCAGCTGGCAGTGAGCCCAAATTGTTGTTGTTCGTTATTTTAATTTATTTTTATAATTTGTAATTTGTTGTAAATCTGTTTGCTTGGAATGGCTATTGACCTGTGTTATTGTTTGTTGTTGTTGTTGTTGTTGTTTTTGTTGCTGTTGTTGCTGCTGGTTAACATTGTCACGCTCCTTATTATTATTGTCGCTATTGCTGCTGTTGTTGTTGCTATTATTACTGCTATTGTTTTCACTGTCGTCGCTGCTGGAGCGCTCTGTTACGGCGCTCTGCTTGGGTGCCGCCATCAGCACGCTGCTACTAACGCTGCCGACAACGACGCCGTCGTCGTCGTTGGCGCACACCGATCGCGTCTGTTGCTCGCTCTTACACACGTTTACGCTCACGATCGCGCTGACGCTCTCTCGCCCGTTCTGTTCTATAGTATTGCTAATGCTGCCGACATGCCATGTGACCGCAGCAACGTCGTCACTCGGTGGCGTCGCTAACACAACTGGCAGCTCCAATGTCGGCGGCCCCAATAGGCGTCGCCGCTGCCGACGCCGTTGCTTTTGCTGCTGCTGGTGCCGCGTCGCTGACTCACGCTCAGCTTTATTGTTGTTGTCGCTCTCACAGTAGCCCCGATATCGACGCAGCCAGCGCTCAATGCTGTCGCTGCGCAGTCGCTGTCGACGCTGCAAAAAGGCGCTCAGCAATTTGTCATAGCCGAAGTAGCAAATGACGCTCCGATGCAAGCTGGCCGCAAGCGCAGTTGTCTGCCACAGCTGAGGCAGCGACACACGTCCAGCAAGCAGCGCTGCCGCAGCCGCTGCTGTTGCTGCGCATGCTGGCTGTGTGTTAACAGTTAATTCGAGCTCTGTCGCTGGCTTTTCGCTCTCACTGACCGCCAAGCCGCTGAGAAATTCACTAACAAAGGCCGCATCGTGCCGTTCATTGATGCCGCAGCGACGTCGACGTCGATCGTCTAGCTGCGCATCGTCATGCGGCTCAACACGTTGCGCTAATTGGGTTTCCAATTGAGCATCTAATTGGAAATACGGTTTGGCCAGCAGCTTGCGCTTAAAGTCGTTCACCAAACGCTGCTGCGCAGCAGGCTCTGCCTCTGCTGCTGCCGCTGCTTCGATGCGGCGCAGCGTTACAGCTTCAGCCACTTGTTCTCGCTCACGTTCCCGCTCTCGCTCCCTCTCATACGCCGGCGGCACGCTTTTGGGCTGCTGGCAGCCAACGCCGCCGTTTGCATCCTCGTAGCTGTGCAGCTCGCGTCGCAGCGCGTGCATCCACTGGCAAATGCTTTCATTCAAAAATAGAGGTGACGTTGCTGTTGCTGACGTCGACGCTGCTGCCTGGCAGTTTGGCTGCTGTTCATCTTGGCGTAGCAGCCGCATGCGCGATATGCGCGGTTTTTTGCGCGTCAACTCTGCTGCGCTCTCGGCCTCTGGCTGTATCGCTCGCTCCGGTTCCGGCTCCGGCTCCGGCTTCGGCTGCGGCTCCTGCTTCGGCTCCGTTTCAGGCTCGCGCTCGCCGCGCAGTCTGCCATAGATGTGCTGATCGCTGCGACTGCACTGCAGCTGACGCTTCAGCTCGCAGATGCGCTGCATATCGAACGTCTCCTGCGTGCGAAACACTTCGTCCACATTGTGAATGATTTCCAACGAGCCGCCGCCGGCCTTTCCGGTGCCCACCTCCCTCTGAAAAAGGCGTCGCTGCAGCGAGCCGGAGCGATTCAGCTGCTTCAGCGAGCCGAAGAGACGCGTCAACGTCGCTGCGCTGGACTTGGAGTAGCCCAGCAGAGTGCGTGATTTGCCAGACTTGGCGGCAGTTGACGCTGCTGGCGGTGGCTGCGGCGGCAACAGCGCCACATTTTCAGCTATAGCTGCGGCTGTGGGCGTGGCACTCCTTGCACACTCGCATTGCTCGCTGTCGCTGTAGATACCTCGGCAGAGCTCGCAAATGTTCTCATAAATATTGCATTCGTTGCTGCTCGACTCAGACGCCGGCTGCGGTTGTTGCTGCTGGTGCTGCAGCGCAGCGACGACGCTGCCGCTAACAATGCACTGGCAGAAGTGACAATAGTGACCTTGAGCTGCAAAGACGCCATAGCCGCAGCCGTGGCACAGATTTTCGTAGATCACCTCGCGGCGAAAGTATTTGCGCAGCTGCTGCGACGTCGCAGACGCTGGCAGATTCTCATAGATATGCTGCTGTGGCTGCAGCTGGCGACTGCGCTTGCTGCGCAGCTGCGACTGTGTCGCCTCGTTCTGATTGGAAATGTGCTGTTTATTATTGTTGTCGCTGATTTCGCTGCTGTTTCGCTTGCTGCTTTTCATTTCCACTTGTTGCGGCATTTCTTTTGCTTTTTTAATTCGTTACCACACACACTCTCTCTCTCTCTCTCTCTCTCACTCTCTGTTCCACTCTCTATCGTTTTATTTTGTTCTCATTCACTATCACGCGCGTTTATCGCAATGTTTGTTATTATTATCATTATATTGCTGCATCATCATTTATTATAACGTTCTTTTTTATGTTTTAAACAGCGTCGACAGAATCAAAGGCACGAAAAATACAGAAAACAAGAATAAAAAAAACGGTTTTCATTTCATTTCATTTTATCTGTTATGCGCTTTTAATTGATGCGAGTCAAACTGTCAAATAGTCGCTCGCTCTCTCAATTGCTCTCGCTTCTATACAGACACACACATGCGCGCACGCGCTATTATCTGTGCAACCCCTTCCTCCCGCACACTCGCACTCACACGCAGACAGAGACAGCGATCATGTTATAGTGACGCTGCACTCAGCACTTACATGCAGGCAGACACACATATACATGCATGAATACGCATACGTATATGTACATGTGTAGCTGTTATTCTCGCTGCCGCTGCTTTACATTTCTGACTTTGGCTCTCAACATTTAACCCTTAAGCCGTCACAGAGAGTTCAAGCGATCCCGAAGCACACACATTGTGTGTTATCATTCAATTGTTTAAACAAAATGTATTATAAAGATAATGTCAATTGCTCATAATATATCTGTCATAAGCTAAGGTACATAATAACGAAACTAACAAAACAAAATATAACAAAAGAAAGCAGAATAGAAATATAAAAAAATCCCTGGGCTATCAAGAGAATCAATAAGAACTGTGGCGTTCTTGTTAATTAATTTACAGCTGCTTTAACTACAAGTTAAAAGGCTAAGTTTGTCATGAGGTCACAACGGCAAATTCTAATGCGAGTCGAATTGCCCACATAAGTGTTAAGAGATTAAGTATGAGCAACTGCTTCTCGAGACTGCTTAAGTTGGTTGCGAAGGCAGCGCGATGAGTCAGAGCGGCGGCAGCAAAGCATGTCGAGATGTCGCCCCCAATGGCTTGGCCAACGGGTCCCTCGGTCAGGGGCCTTTCGAGGCGTCACTCAAATTAAATGCCCCGACAGTGCGCAACAGCGCAGCGACCCTTTTACATAAACAGGCGAGGCTCACAAACTGAGCAACTGAGAAACTGAGCAACTGAGAAACTGAGAAACTGGTTAACTGCTGCTGCTGCTGCTGCTGCTGCTGCTGTTGCGTAAGTAGTTGCTGGATTCTCTCGCAGGTGCCGCTGTTCTTGGCCTTCGGAATGTCGACTACCTGTTATAAAACGTTTGATCAGTCGACGCCAACTCAACAACTGCTGCACACTGAAAATCAGTGTTACACAATGTCATATGACGGACGTCCTTTGACGGCTCTTATCAGCTACCTTATAGAGGCATGGCCCATGCAAGAGGGTAGTTTGAAGTTTACTGAGGCAGAAGAAACGAATAAATATATATTTTTTCATATTTTTCTTATATTTATTTGTTCTCGATCAGCAAAAGTTCTGTTATCTTCGAATATCTTTTGGAAACGTGACAGCTGTAAACAAAATCTTATATCGAATTCGAACTACTTCTTCTACTTCTTATATATCTACCATATAGAAGCATCAATATTTTCGTATATACGATTTCTTATAATATATCGTTGTATATCGTTTCAATTTAAAACAGAATTCCCTCTTGGGATTACCCTTGAGTTTATCCAGAAAACCTTGAGAGTAAATTCTATTGAAAACACTGAGTTCGAGTTCGAGTTCGAGTTCGAGTTGGGTGAGTGTGGCTTAGGGGAATATTTGGGCTACAATTGAGGCAAATTGGAAATGTCTATAGGTATTCTGTGTGCTATATGCTATATGCTATATGCTATATGCTAAATGCTGCATTTTGGATATGTCGAAGATGGGGTTAGGTTAGTTGCTGTTCGTGTTTGGTGCGGTTTGAGTGTGTTCAATCTAAGCAATAACCGAAGACCTTCAAACATATCCAAGCTAAACTTTAAAGAGTATATGTGTGTGCGTGTGCATGTGTGTGCGTGGGTGTGTTTGGGTGCGTGTGTGTGCGTATTGCGTGTATTGCGATCTCTTCTATTTATAGTTTCTAATAGATTTGCATTTGCCCTCCAATTGCGCCAAAATATTCCTAAATATATTAATATATATGTATACATACATATATACAGAGAGTATGAACCTATATATATACACACACACATATATATATACATACATATAGATGCATATATATACACACACATGTATATATCTAACGACACACAGTTGCGCAGCTGCTGTAGTTTTTTTTTGGTAGTGTAGTGTATGTTTTCTTCGTTGTAATTCGCTCAGTTCTGTTCAATCTGTTCGGTGTGTTGATTTGCGTTGATCTACATTTGTATTGTGTCGTCTGCATCATCATCATCTTTGTCTTCAACTTTCAACTTTGTCTTCACTTTCTTTTATTTTTGCTCTTGCATCTTCATCTCATTGTCCTTCGTTGCCTGTGTGTGAATTATTCATCTGTTGCTTGTCTTTCATCTACTTACATTCGTATATTCCGTTTCGTGGTTCTGTTGTTTGCTTTCGTTAAATTGCTATGGGGTATATCAGTTGCTAGTTCTTATGCTATGTAAGCTTTATTACGACTTACAGTTGCTTCAGTAATCACTGTTGAGCTCTTTAATAGAGAATGAAAGAGAGAGAGTGGTGAGGGAGAGAGAGCGGGGAGAGTGAAATAGAGAAAAGAGAGGAGAGGCGAAAGAGGAGAGAGGAGAGAAGAGAGAAGAGAGAGAAGTAAGAGATAAAGAGATAACAGAGAGAAACGAGAAAGCAAAAAGAGAGAGAGAAGTAAGAGAGAGATGGGGGAGAGATATAAATGGAAGAGAGAGGGAAATGGGAGAGAGAAGGGAGAAAAGAGAGAGAAGAGAGAGAAATGAGAGAGAAGAAAGAGAGAGAGAAAAGATCTATAGAGAGAGAGATATATAGAGAAAGAGAGAGATAGATATATAGAGAGATATATATAAAGAGAGATATATAGAGAGAGAAATACAGGGGAGAGAGAGAAATAGAGAATGAGAAAAATGGTAAAATATGGAAAGTAAAAGAAGGAGATAAAGAGAGTAATAGAAGGAAAGAAATTGAAAGATAAATAGAGAGAGTAAACAAAAGAGAAACACAGAGACAGAGAGAAAGGTGAGCGACAGCTTAAGACCGGGTAAGAGTAATCTTTTAAGATCAAGTTCTTATAAGGAGAAGTCGAAAGTAAAGGAAATGCTTTCACGGCAAGTCTACATCTAAAATATATGCTGATCTAGAAACAGTACTGGGAATATCTACATTCATATTGAGAGCACAGTGCTTATAGAGGGACGTTTGGCAGTATGAAACGTAGATATATATAGATATGGCTGGATTACTGAAGCAACTGTTAGTCTAATGAGTCTAGTCAGATACTATATGTATATGGATATATAGTTACAGATTGAATATGTGCGCTCCATTTGATTAGGATGAGCGCCAGCTGCTGTTGTTGGCCCCATCGAACTCCCAGGAAGTCTGCTGTGGTATCGATGTCTGTGAGTTGGATGTCTGCGGGTCCTGGTAGTAGTTCTGGGGCCAAACGGCTGGCATATTGACCGGCACACTATAGTATTGATAGACCGGCTGATATTGAACGCCGGCCGGTGCCTGCTGATAGATGGCTGGCACTGTGGCGGCCGTATATTCGGTAACGGACCCAGCCGGGCCATAGGTGGCCGTTGCATACTGCTCGAGGGGAATTGTGTTGACCGTGGGCGGCGGCGGCGGCGGCTGAGTGGTGAAGTAAACTGTGCCGTTCGTCTCAATGATCGGCTGCAGCTTGGGACGGATCTGTTGCTTTTTGAATGCTGGCGCAATATTCAAACGGCGATTGCGCAATATGACACACTTGCCCACGGACTGCAGGCGCTGGGCCTCCTCCTCAGTTTCGAATGTGACGAAGCCATAGCCCTTGTTGAAGCCATCCTGATCGACGATGATCTTGGTGCTGCGCACCGTGCCGTAGGCACTGAACGCGATCATCAGATCCGATTCGGTTGTATCGCGACTGATGCCACCAACGAATACACGATTCGGTATTACTGTCCCATAGATCGGCTCCGCCGGTGGCGCCTCCACAGCGACAGTTGGCATGGCGACTGTTGGTGTAGTTGAGCCGGGTGTCGGGGCCATTGCTAGTTTGGGTCCAGCTGGTGGTGCCTGTTGCAATTGTGTGGATGCCATTTTTCGCTGATAACTTATTCCGAAAGGCTGATTCTTGAGGCTACATGCATATATATATATATATATATACATATATATATGGTGGGGGAGGTATTACGGGAGAAGTCTTGTTGTCGATCAGCTTTTGTCCTTACCGCTTGTATTCAACAAGATCCCCGGATATATATTTTTGTATACACCGGTAGATTCGTAGTCCTGCTGATCAAGGATATCAGGGAGGATGGCAAGCGGGGACGGGGTAGATGAATGAGTTTGGTATGGGCGGAAGACGTCTATGGGTAGCCGTTGCGTCTGATTCCAACTCCTCACTTCGTACTGCTCTCGATAACTTCGTATTGGGGCCTTTAACCTTCTTCTACTAATAACAACGTATAGCTTAGGTAACTATTATTCAAACGAGTTTCAAAAAATCGAGAATTTCAAAAATTGAGAATTTCCAAAATACCTCATTTGATAAAATACAAATTTGAAATGAATTCTTAACACCTGACCTTAAAGGAAATGCGATAATGATATACATATATATATATATGTATATATATATAAATATACATACATAAACATACACGTTTGACGTTTATGATTTAAGAATTTTGAGATACTTTGTTTCTGGCTTTGCTCTTTACTAAAAATTCGAAACATAGCCAAGATTACTTGATGATTGAGGGAATAGAAACGAAGTCGATTAACTTTATTCATAGAAAATATCATATTTTGATGAAGTACAGTTATAGTATGATCAAGTATAGTTATGTGAATTGAAAATCGGTGTATACATCGATAACGATATCATCAATAACATTTTTCTATGACTCTTTCGGCCGTTTGAAGACATTCCCCCGATAATTATCGATAATTATTAATGAATGCAAATCGAAATCGAACAATCGGTAACTGCTCAACTTTCTTCACATATATATAAATCGATAACAATATCGATCATTCTTAAACATTTGTCGTATGGATTCAGCTTGAAATCGATAACATTATCGATCATTCTTAAACAGTCTCACGATATACTAAAATCGATAGCTCATAAAACGTCATAAGAACTCATCATAAATCGATAACAATATCGATAACCATTAAATCGTAAATAGCCTTGTGAGTTCAAACTGAAATCGATAACATTGTCGATGAATCGATAGCATTATCAACTTAATAGAGATAATATCGATAACTGATCAATTTTTGTTATTTGAATAGAAATAAAACTCGATCGAATTGCAATTAAGATCAATAGGCACTACTTTGTCGATAGTCCTATCTGTCGTCAAATCGATAACAGTATAACAGCACGCAAAGAGTATTCCACATTCGATATAGCAAAACTACCAAATCCAAAGAAATATAATTTTTTTCGCTTTCAATTTCCGCTTTTCGTGCGGGTCGAAAGGGGTGTCTCGGGGGCCCAGTTAATTTCTGTGTAATAAGTTGGCTGCGACGCGACGTCGCTGTCGCTGCCAGAGTCCAATAAGAATGTCGCTTGGCATATGATGATTATGGTTGCTGTATTTTGTCTCGCTTCTTGTTTATGTCTCTTTTTCTTTTGCTTTTAATGAAGTTTATTAGGCGCTGCAGCAGCCACCATCAGCCAACAGCCGCCTAAAGAGATCCACAGCTGAAAATATGTCTGATTGGATTTGCTAACTGTATGCGTGCAAGCGAGATAGCTGCACAGTCATGAAGCGAGCGCAGCTCAGCCAAAGAGTATTCATACTTTATTGTCCGATGACTCATTACGAGATGCGAAGCTAACAAAAGTCTGATAAGAAACTGCGATAAATATAGATAGCTCTCTCTCTTCAGACTTGATAATGTCTAATTCATCTCTATCGAAGTTGGCAATTGACAAAAATCCCATGGCTATATAGTCTCACATAATTATATATATAATTGAATTATTATATTCAAATTTATGTGTATTATTAGCCACAGGAAATCACATAGTCATGGATTATCATATATATAATGATGATTAAATTGAAGTTAATTATTATATAAGATTATATCATATTTTATTAATAATTCTGACGCCATTTCTTGCACTAATGCTGCTGCGGTAAAAGCTTTATGTATGTAATTTTATATATATATTAAAATTATAATGCCTTAAGATCAATGTGCGCAGTGCCCATGCAGCGCTCTTTCCACATATCACAAAAGGCCTTAAGGCACACACACACACTCACACACACACACTAATAGTTCTGCATGTGTAATGACAGCTCAAGTGTCAATCAAGCGGCTACTTGTGTTGCATTAACAAAGAAAATAGATATACAAAAAGAACAACAAAGGCAGCAGAGAAATTTCCATTGCAGCAAAAAGTGTCAAGCAAATCAGAGCGAGAAAATGAGCGGCATAAATAAAGCCAATTGCAAATGGAAGTAATGCCTAATGCACATGGCTCTCTGTATGTGTATGTATGTATGTATGTATGTATGTACGAGCACATATACATATATACAAATATGTCTGTGTGTAAGTGTGTCAGTGTTCGCTTGCAGCAAACTATGCAAACTGATGACAAAATTGTTTTACGCGCGCGACTCTTCAAATTGCATTAACGTCGACTGCGACTGCGACGGCGACGGCGACGGCGACGGCGACGGCGACGGCGGCAGTAACTGCGACTGCAGCCGATAAAGCTACTGCTGCGTGCTGTTCAGATTTGCCGTGCAGTGCATCTGTGTGTACTTTATATGCAATTGCCCCACTCTGGCTTATAGCGTGTGTCAGCCAGTTGCCAGTTGGTAGTTGGTAGTTGGTAGTTGCCTCTTGACTTGCCACTGCGATAGTCTTCTTTGTGGGCGACAAAAAACGCGCGCAAAACGCGTGCGCAGCACGTCGACAGCCAAACGCGATTAGTCACACAGCTGCCCCAAAGTCAGCAAACCAAAGAGCAACACCAACACCAACACACACACACACAGACACAGCAAGCACCAACACTTGCTGCAACAAGCAACAAAGCAAAACACGCAATGCACAACATGCGCAATGCATTTTCTTCATGTTGCATCAGTGCACAGCCGCAATGTGGGTCGGCGGGGGCGGCATGGCGAGCGTGTGGCACACACAATGCAAGCCACTGTGTGTGCGGTTGGGCGCTTCTTTGCAATCAATTTGATTTTAATTTAGTTTTTTCCTTTTGCTTTTGCTGCTATTACACATTTCCGAAATTCTGTTAATTTATTTGATATAATTGCACGCGAACGACATTTATCATATTACAACACTCATTTGCAGTGTTGACAACAGCTTTTACATAACAATCACCAGGCCAACATATGGCAGCAAGTGAAATGCACTTTTCCGACTATGAATGACAATAAATTTTAGCTCGAAATGGAGTGCAATAAGGATATTGGGTATACTGATGACAATGATAATGATAATGATAATGACAATGATAATGATAATTATAATGATAATGATAATGATAATGATAATGACAATGATAATGATAATGATAATGATAATGACAATGACAATGACAATGACAATGACAATGACAATGACAATGACAATGACAATGACAATGACAATGACAATGAATGACAATGACAATGACAATGAAAATGACAATGATAATGAAAATGAAAATGACAATGAAAATGATAATGACAATGACAATGACAATGACAATGACAATGACAATGACAATGACAATGACAATGACAATGACAATGACAATGACAATGACAATGACAATGACAATGACAATGACAATGACAATGACAATGACAATGACAATGACAATGACAATGACAATGACAATGACAATGACAATGACAATGACAATGACAATGACAATGACAATGACAATGACAATGACAATGACAATGACAATGACAATGACAATGACAATGACAATGACAATGACAATGACAATGACAATGACAATGACAATGACAATGACAATGACAATGACAATGACAATGACAATGACAATGACAATGACAATGACAATGACAATGACAATGATAATGACAATGACAATGATAATGATAATGATAATGATAATGATAATGATAATGATAATGATGATGATAATGATAATGACTAATAATATAATAATAATGATAATATCAAAAATCTTAGGCACAGCAAGGCCGACTTCATTTACTTAACCTATTTATATAGCTAATTAAGAATGTGTAAGTCCCGAGCTGATTCCCACAGAGGACGAAAGAAGCAACATTTTGGATTTGGTTTTTTCATGAATTTCATTAACCTGTGACAAATCCATTGAGATCGTTTGGAAAACACTTCATTTTTGGGAACAATAGGTCGCATTAACTCGGAAACGTGTTTCGGTTTCACTTTCTCTCAACGACTATGCAAATTTGTCGAGCCCAATAACACGATAGCACGACTTATAAAGACACAATATGAACGACTCGGAAAAGGCATGCAGAGAAATTTTGAATGGCCCACGCTTATGCTCAACTATATCATTATCATCGTGCTAATGATGATGATCATCGTCATCAACAAGTCCAAGTTCAAGAATTCGCAGGCTAAAAACCTCTTCTTTGTGCTTGAATCGGGCGAAGTAATTACGTGAGAAACATGATTTTGTAACGAAGACAACTCTATGGGGAAACTAAAGAAGGGAACGCAACACAAAAGTTACTTAAGCTTAGGAACCAAGGAACTCCAATTAAAGTGAACTCTAGTCATAGGTATAACTAACTAAAGAAGATAACAAAGAGCTAAGCAAGCTCGATTTAAAGAAAATAATCTGACGGCTTGACTATATTCATTATATCATAAGATATTACAATATTCTTATTTATATACGATTTATTTCGAATTCGTGTCGACTAACCGCAATATAGTGAAGAAATTGACCTCTTTTTCTTATAGGCTTACCACAATTTACGTCAGTAAATTTATTTTTAAGATTCCATAATCAACATATAGCGAGAAGTTTCAGATACTGACGAGAGGTTTCTAGGCATATGAGTGATATATTTAGCTAATTACTTTAATATATCATTACAAATAGGTATTATATATACGTCTAGAACCGCAGTGAAAGCCAAAACTGGCAGAAGATAGCACAGCAAAATAAGATCTAATAATAAAAATTATAAAGCTTAGATCGTTAAAATGTGTAAATTAATTATAAAATTTGTATAATTTAATAATGTGTTTCTAGGTATACGATATTATTTTCTAAGCCTTGCAAGTAGAATTTTCTATAAACTAGACTAGTTGAGTGGGACTATCTATAAGTAATGCAAAATCCATATGGCTATAAAAAGATATAGAAATATCACTTACCGAATTGCGTCTGAATATATCATCGTCCCGACTGAAGTCGTACATCGAACTGACTCTCACTTTGTAGTCCAAAGGTTTATTGATATTCTGGCACTCGCTGAAGATATCGGGAGTTGTAACAATGCGAACAATGGGCAGGATGGAATTGTTGTTGTTGTTGCTGCTTGGGCTACTGCTGCTAATGTTGCTGTTGCTCT